TCCTTTTTTTATTTCCTGCTTTTTAAACACATGTGATCTACAGTACAGGTTAGCTCTGAGTGTTAGCACGATTTGACGTCATATCGGCAGCAAATCTGTATCCACTCGTTGTACCCCTGTTTTGAAAATATTTGGGTACGGAGGAAAAGAGAGAGGGTTTTATTTTTCTGACGCTGCGTGAGTTCCCCGACGCACCGGGGACACATATTTNGTGTGCCTTGGCAGTCTCAGATATGCCTGATTTTTGCAATGTTACGTAGATGGAAGTAGGCGGTCCTTGAAATTGATTTTATGTGGGTGTTAAAGGATAAATCCTGATCAAATATAACACCAAGATTAGGGTTTTTAGACTTTTTTTTTTAGAGTTGTTTACTTTTATGATACCAACAGAAATGTGCACCTTGCATCTTGTCTGAAGCTGTGAAGTAACACAATTTGGCCTCAAATATTTCTGATTATCATTATTTTCTTCACGTTTTCCTTTTTCTTTCTAGTGTCAAAACCTTTTTTGGTTTCGAATTGTAGTAATGACATTTCCTTTATCAATCCTGCTATGAAAATACTCCCCATTCTTCTTGGGGCCTCCTGGAACTACCTCAATAAGCCCTGGTGTAGAACCACATGTATAGATAATGTTCTTGTGGGACCTGAATCTCTGCACTTACATTTGCAAAATTTCACGTGAACATGTAAATGTGCGCACCAGTATCTGTTTATTGCAGTTTTTTTTAGCTTCGCTCGTCATCAGAGATTGTGTGAATATCGGTTGTCAAAATTCCCAGCAGAGCCATTTGGCGGTGTTTGTCTGTTTACTGCATAGCTGACATTGTTTGGGGCTGCGGCTCGGTGGCTGTGGTGCCTCAAGAGGACATCGAGCTGCCACAGGGGCTGGTGGTCAGGAGAGGGGGGGGACATGGGAGGAGGAGGTAGGAAGTAAGGGCAGCCATAACTGTACTATAGACCATTCTCTATTATATGAAGAGTAAAATGGAAAGTCAGCAGAATAGAGGAGAAATGTACTTTTATGAAAAAGAGCGGAGAAGGAAGTTACATTCAAAGACAGTTAGGTAAAGGTGAACCAAGAATCTGACAAAGAGACTGTGTAGACCTAGTAGGAGACACGGAGAGAGCAAGGGAGGGAAGTAGTGAGTCACAACAATGGTTGTCTGTATTTATGTCTGTAGGAGTATATTTTTCACCGCTGGCCATAGCTGCTGGGCTGAAGAGTCCTCAGCTATTCTCAGCTCTGGTCCTGGATGGCAGGGCTGTAATCAAGTGAACATCAGGCCTGCCACTGTTGAATAACAGCAGCCTGTGCATGGAAGAAATGAAGCAGTGAGAGTGTGAGAAAAACAGAATTATTTGGGAAGAGAATGGGACTGAGCAAAAGAGAAACATCATTCCAGTGTAATTTAATGTTTGTGGTGCTTCCTGCTACATGTGGGAGAATGAATAAGAGGCCGATTGTGAATGGAGTACAAAAAAGGGTTTTTGTTGTTTAGAGTGCTCCTCCGTCTGGTCAATAAAATATGATGAGGTCTCCCACCAAAAATACCACAGCTAAACCTCGAGTGAATGTCATTGCCAAAATGTATCTGTTCTCACTCAGGATTCATGAATCTAATTAATATTTTTTGTATAACCACACAGTTACCAATTCTAACACAAAGCCTAACGTGTTCTCCATGTGTCCCTCATACAATTTAATGTATTTTTTTATTTTGTTTGTTTTGGCAGGTACCAAAAGTCCAACCAGATAAAGTGGCAGCAAATAGTTTGAAATACTGACAACAAAAAAGTGATGGAAGGACAAAACGGTAAAGAAAAGTCCAAAACATGACACATTTTTTCCTAATTGGTTAAGGATACTAAATTACTGTTTTAATGTTTACAGGAAGTATCTTGCACCGTAAAACCACTGAAAATGGAACTAGAGGGAAGCCCCCATACTCAGTGGAAACCCCTTATGGCTTTCAACTTGACCTGGACTTCCTCAAATACGTGGATGACATAGAGAAAGGCAACACAATCAAAAGAGTACCAATCCAGCGTCGAAGCAAAGGCCCCCGAGCCAGCACTCTTCCCAGGCACCTCAACCCTTCTGGGTGCGGGTACCGCCCAAGCCCCTGGGGATCTACTGGAGCTCTTGGCCCAAGGACAAGACTGTCTGACGCCCATCACTATGGCTACAATTCCTTGGCAAATGATCAGAGATCCCAACTTTCTCCCACAGGTCTCCGATCTCTGGCAGAGATGGAGGCCAGAATCAAGGAGTTTGATGAGCAACCTCTGGGTGAGCACATCAGACCTCATCTCCTCCGGGCCTCCAGTATGCCACTTACAGTATTACTGAGGCAGGGATCAGAGTCCACAGACGAGCCCGGAAGCCTCCGGAGTTCGAGGGACCACCTTGGGGAGAGAAACCCCTCCTGTGAAGACGTGTTCTACTCCTCGGACAGCCCTCGACCCCAGGATTGCTCAGGGCTGTTGAGACGCCTGACCGAGGCTCTCGAACGTGTGGGGGAGCTGGAGATGGAGGTGAGGGTGGTTCCAGAGCTCAGGGCACATATCTGCATCCTTCAGGAGGAAAGAGAAAGGCTCCGACTGGGATTAAAACCACAGATTCAAACCCCACCAATGAATGGAACCACAGACCGTAACACCTCCTCCAATTACGGCATTATGGATATCAAAAGGCCTCGGCATGAAAGTCACGTCATGTTTCCTAGAAATCACCAGATCAGTCGAGAAGACTCTAATCCCATGCACGAGTGGAGGACTAGTACAGATCTGGATGAGCTGCTGACGGTGACGTCCCTGCAGGCTAAGGTAGCTATGCTGGAGCAGAAGCTCCATGAGACTGGCCTAGAGCTACATAGAGCTTTAGGTTTGCTAAAGGAGCAGCAAGAGGAGAGCAGGAGGAAAGATGAGAAGATGGAGAACCTTATCAGGAACCCTGCAGTGTGGGTTCATGCAGAGAGGGTGCTGGTAGAACAGGATGGAGATGAGACTGTTGTGAGATCCCTTGAACCATATATCAAAGTGTCAAGTCCAAATGCAAGAACTGTTTCTGCAAATGGACAAAAAAGTCAACAACAAGACCTGGCAGTGTCTGTTAAACCTGAAGACTCTTCAGAGGAAACAGCAGTGGTGGCCCATCATATAAAACAGATCAAGAGGCTGCTGCATAAGCAGTGGGAGTGTTTGTGTGCAGAACATGTGTCAGGAAGGGAAGGTAAACCTCTACAGCACCCTGACCCCAAAGTCAACGCCCTGCAGCAGGAGATGATGGGACTTGTGGACATCCTTACATCCTACTACACCCAACATGGATGCAGTGGTGAAGAGAGTATCCAACATGGAGGTACTGTAGTCCACAGATGTTACATTATGTCACTGCAATGATTAAAACATAGTTGTATAATGAAAATACAAATAATGGATGTTCCATGTCTGCTTCTTATCTACTAAAGTCTGAAAAATGAAGCCAATGCATTGCTGCTTCACAAGTGTAATTGTATAGAAGTCTACACGAAAACCATCCTACTTGTCACCTAATTTATTAGTAACATAAATATTTAGCTGAAAATCGTATTTTCTCAATATACCTTCAATATAACATGATGTCCATTTAGTCAATCACGATCCCATTGGGACTGAATTAGATGATAAAGCAAGGTATGCTAAGGGCGTTGCTAACTTCTTGTTGACAGGTTGGTACCACGGTGTTGTCCGCTTGGGGTGTTGTCATGGTTTTTGTCTTAGAACTTTTACTTTTTCAGTGTGTTATCAGTTGATGGATGTTAATTGGAACATTATGGTCGATTGAAAATGTCAAGACTAAAGTCTGGGCTTCAAACCATATTCCACAAACCAATGGGCGACGTCACAGAGACAATATCTACTTTTTTCATGACTCTAAGATTGAACACTAATTTTTGATTTGATTTTATATATTTGAAGAAGAAGTACATTGGTACACTACAAGGCAAAACAACCACTTTAGTTTTAGTTTGGAATCTGATAGTTTACCCGTAGTTTATCTTTGGAGAACATGTATAGTTATTTACAACTATGGCTGGTCAAAGCATTTAAAACTTAGCAGAAGAATGTGTATATTATACTCTTTGGTATCAGCAGAATCTGAACTTTAATCGCAAAGTGAATATGAAATATTCAAAAATATACATTTTTTTGAACTTTGAAATGCTTTAAATTGAAGCCTTTAGGGTTAAATATTTAAGTTTTTGTTATTTTTGTTAGATTAGGCATATGAGCTCTGTGTAGTGGAAAAATCTGTGTAAAACAGAGTTGGAGTTAACTTGTTTATGCTAAGAACTACAGCAATGGAAACATATCAAATTTTTGAAACGACAAGCTCATTCCCCTTTCATGAAGACGCTAGTCTGTCTAACAGCACATACAATTTGACAAAATAATCCTTTTCTTTTACTCAAAGTACTAAACATTTATGTCTATTACCATCAAGGCCACATCATGATGTTCCACTGTCACATCTAGGCCCACAATTCACTGACTAATTTACTCTCTTCTTTTTCAGTATAAACAATTCTGACTAAATAGCTTTTGTGAAGAAATACTTGTCTCTTAAAGTATGACAATAAGCCATAAAGCATGCTGATGTGTTCCTAACGGGCATGTAATGTTGTTGTTCAGCGGTGTTGTAATATTTCATCATACCCTCTGTTTGTCTTCCACGCAGCCTCTAATTCCCCCATGCGGACAGACGGATGCGCCCTGATGTCAAAAACCCTCCATTCTGTGGGTGTTAATGATGGGTTAGTAAATAACTCACCCACTGAAGCAACGTTTAGAGTTATGATTTTTGCTTAAACCATAGTTTTGGTTGACAGACATACTAACTTGAGGTTGTTTAAGCTACTTTGCCTGAGACAAACACCATCCTTTAAGATTGTGGATGAATGCCAATCCCTCTGAAGTTGTCGGTTAAGGAAGAAAAACATTTGCCATTTACCAAAGCCTCCAAAGAGTTTATTTATTACTTAAAAAATACTGTCAAAAAAAGTGACTGTGGAAGTTTCCACTTTAGCTAAAGGATTACTCCTTTATAAATATATCGAGTCTCTTGAGTTGTGGTTCTATGAATCAACACATAAAAGGCATTCTTAAAAGATGATATTCTTAATTTATAAGTATAAATATGAATATTGCAAGAAATGTCTTCGAAGAATGTGGACAAAACAACGCAGATTTAAAAAAAACATGTGATTCTAGATTTTTACATTACCTTACTTTTCTTATTAACGTCAACCTGCCAATGCCATATGGCTATCTGTCATTGAAAAATCGTTGTCTTTTTCCAAAATGAGCCAACTCAGACACTGCGATGAGAAAAAAAAGGTGAACTTTGTCCTTTTAACAGATCTGATGGGTGTATTTTCATCTGCCGAAATGTACCTGCGTTTTGAGTGGTGGTTAATTGTTTTGCTGTCCTCTTCTTACATTATTTTCTTTAAAGTCCCCAAAATGGAAATCTGGTTGGGCAAGACTGTGTGAACAAAAGCACGCAAAATCAAAGTAGCATCCGCCCTACGGAGATGGCTGTTCCCCAGGAAGAAGCCGACCCAGAGTTGAGACTGTCTGAGGGACTGAGGTACACGAGCCCAGACGGACAGATGATACCGGGAGGAGCAGGATCAGAGCGGACAGATGGAGGCGAAGCGTCTGTGGAAGCTGAGAAAACAGCCAAAACGAAACCCCCAGGAGAGCAGATGGAGGGGAAGTCTGGCTCACAAACCAGCACCGGGGGCAGGTGAGGCAACCGGAACAAACGCCTTATCACTTTTTATGATTGTGATGTTTACTCTTCAGAGAATAGCTCCTGTGTTTTTATTTCATCCCATGGGGCTATGTTTCTTTTGCTTCGGTTTTTTTCTCTCTTTCCTTATGCACGCATACTCCTTCCTCTAGGGAGACGGTGAATGCAGATTTTCTGGCTGCCTGTCAGTTCCTCAAAGATCACATGGACAACATGGACAACCCCAATGAAGACATGGTGAGCAGTCTGGATTCTTCCAAAGAAACATTCAGCTTATTACAGTTATGGTATCCGTATAGTATTAAAGTAATCTTATTTATCCAGTTCTATGCTAAGCTTCTGAAACTATTTCATTTTTGCCAAAACAGGCAGGCATGCTACTCATCCAAACAATTAATCCAAGTAGACTGACTACTAGGCTTGGTCAGTTTTTAAGCCAAATTTTTACGATACAATTTCTTTGTTTTTTCTCATTGGGTCAAAAGTGATCAGAAAACCAGTAGAGCAAATGTTCGCCTCAACTGAACAGCACCTAAGAAACTCGTGAATCAATGTTCTTAGTAGCCCTTTGAAGATATGTTGACTCCTTATAACAACCCTCTCAACATTTAGATCTTAAAGGGGACCTATCATGCAAAAATGCACTTTGTGATGTCTTTTATACATAAATATGTGTCCCCGGTGCGTCGGGGAACTCACGCAGCGTCAGAAAAATAAAACCCTCTCTCTTTTCCNGCACTTTCCCTCCTCACCTCATACCTCAAAGACCGCACCTACAGGGTTACTTGGAGAGGGTCCGAGTCCGATCCTTGTCAATTAACTACAGGGGTCCCTGAGGGACCCCTGTAGTTAATTGACAAGGATCGGACTCGGACCCTCTCCAAGTAACCCTGTAGGTGCGGTCTTTGAGGTATGAGGTGAGGAGGGAAAGTGCAGTGCCTGAAACTCCAAGTTCTTGGAGAGTGCGAAGGAGGATCTGATGGTTCACCGTGTCGAATGCAGCAGACAGGTCCAGAAGGATGATGACAGAGGAGAGGGAGGCTGCTTTAGCCGAGTGCAGTTCCTCAGAGACAGCAAGGAGAGCAGTTTCTGTTGAGTGACCTGCCTTGAAACCAGACTGGTGCGGATCCAGAAGGTTGTTCTGATGGAGATAACAGGAGAGTTGTTTAAAGTGATAAACTGATAAACTGATAAAGAATGTTTTGCACTCAGATTGCTATGAATACTACCTAATCACATTGCTACACAAATATACCTGAAGATCAGTGCCTGTGGGAGAAAAACCATTTCAGGACTCATTGATTGAGGAAGATAGTGTGGTCTGTAGTGCAATGTAAAATAGACTTGAATCTGAGCTGGTGGCCATTAGTCAATCAGGGAAAAGTTTCAACTAAGAACGTTTCTGTGCTGTTTGGAACCGACAGCAACTTAATGTGTTATCAAGTTCATGTCTGGGCAGCTGGGACTGAAGCAGCGTGTTGAAACATTTTGCTTGAAACCTGCAGGTTGGGGATGGGTCTGTGTAGTTTGAACAAGACACTTGATTGAGGTTAGATTTCCCTAGGAATGATCTCAGAGCTGCTGTTTTAAAGGCAGGGGCACCTCTCCTGTCTGCAAAGATGTGTTGATGCGTGTGTAGATGAACTGAGACTAGATAGGGAAACAGAATTTAAAGAGAGGTGTAGGTACTTGGCCAAAGGAGCAAATGGTGCAGTTAGATTTAGGTATGATGGTGTGCAGAGACAAGATGTGACCTCAGCAGAGGGTTGTGGAGCTGCTGCCGCTGGAGCTGCTGTTTATGGCTGCTACATTTATGATTACCTAAATGTTACAATACATAATGCAAGACCGGCAGTCTGAATTCTTAAATCAGCAGGGTTAATCAGGGTCTTACTGAGAGGAATGAGGTCTCCTAGATCACTAGAATAAATTATATTAAAAGTTTCCTGTGAAGTTGTCTTTTAAACAAACTAAAGTTATTTTAAAATTGAGCTACAAATGTATTGTATTGTGCCCTTCAATTGTTCTTATCAGAAAACATTTGCAAAGCAGCATTTTTATCAAAATTAAAGTTTACATAATTTCAGTTAATTCTACATGTATTTACGCTACTACATAACCATAAAGCTGAAGACTGTGTTTAACTTTGATCAATTAATATGTACTCTCATCATAAACCACACCCAGATCAAGTAACATAACCTGCATTTATTGTTAGATTCATAGTCACATGAATATCTATCATGAGCATATGAGTGACTGGTAATACGTTTCAGCCCGAAAATAGGTTGTTTATGAATCCATTAGGCTAAAAACAGAAACACTTGGCTTGCATCATCGGCATACCATGCCTTTTTATTGTATGACTGTAGAGACCCATGTGTTTATCTTTCTTTGATCATCACCAGTCATGCAGGTGATTCAGTAGACAGCATTGATGGCAGGAGAGTAGGCGGACTAATGTTCCTTATGCAAGTATAGGTCGCATACACCATCTCTGCGCAGATAAACACACACTCATACACGTTCCCTTTTTTGCTCTTTCTTGCTTTTTCTTTTTCCTTCTGCTTCCTGTCTCCTCCAGAGCTCAACAACAAAAGGCGAGTTATTGAACAGAGCTCTGGGGCGGGAACACATTCCATCATTTCAAAATGAAACGAGTCTCATTTTTCTCTTTCCTCTCTCTTGTCGCCTTTCTCTCGCTTTTACAGTCTCCATCTGTCCTCCAGTTCTTGAGTCCCTCTCTGTTCTTCTCTCTATTTATTCCTTTCTTTCTTTCCACGTTATTTTTGTCTCTTTCTTCTTCTTAACACCTTCTGTCTCCTTTGTCTTTGGACCAGGTAATTCCCTCTGCATCCTCCTCTGGGCAAAAACGATGACCCTTTGCTTTCTAATTACCTCTGCACTCTCCTATTCTCCAGCATTATTCTATTAGTATCTACCACATTATAATCATCAGGGTTGATATTGGATTTAATAGCTTTGAGCAGAATGTGGTATGAACAACGATGCAGGACACAATTAAATAGCTTTGGTTTCCTAAAGTAATTCAGTGTAGTCCGTGCTAATTAGACGGGCTCAAATGGAAGAATTACTAATGTTACTCACAACATACTGTAGTTCTAAATAATTTCCTGTTTTCTATTTGTATAGTGATGAAGGATGTATTCCATAATAAAAGGGGCAATGGGAAATGTATTTTCCTCACCATGTTTGTACTTGCAACAGATTTCAGATGTAACTATGCAATTAGTGAACTCCACAAACAATCCCTTTACCAATTGAAAACGCAGGTTGTCATAGTGTTAGCAGTCTATTCTGATTTAACACCGAAGAGTGTTAGAGTTGGCATCTTGAGAAACTATCAGGAGCACAAAACAGCAGCACTAACTTCAAAAGTCGCATACTCTTGCAGACTAGGTTGGCAACACTAGCTTGTACATTTAGGTCCCCCTCCAAATCCACACCACACAATGAATAAAGATGCAATCAATCAATAAACATGGCTATCCCACAACCTTCAAGCTAGGTTTTTTCCACAAAAATAATAGTATTTTTGAAGATTATCAACGATAGCATTAGCATTTTAGCTAACAATGTGTTCAACCCTCTGTAGCTTTTTACTGGTGAGGATTTAAGATGGGATTTATAGTGACATGTGAAGTACAAAGTTTAAAAGCGTTCAATTACTTGGCTCTCCTTCAGGGGCTGACCTGCGCTTTTGAAATCCTCACACTACTGAGTGAGTGCAACTATATGGTTAGAAAAGATAAAGATAAATTGTTCTTCTCCACATCCTATAGTACCACGTACCATAAGAGCATTATACATAATTTAACATCGCCTTGACGAAGAATTCTTAACATTATCAACTTAGTGAAAAGTAAGTGTTCAGCCACATATTAATGATGGCCTTCATCTCTCTCGCTCGCGGGAGTGTCAGCCTCACTCGCTCGCTGAATCTGTCTGCGCGCGCGTGAAAAGTTTCTGACACTTTGGGGCGGAGCCACTGGACTTTGATTGACAGCTGCCAGGAAGCCCAGAGTGGCCAGGTTTGATAAAAGCCTGAACTATCAATTAATTTGATATAAAAAAAATGACACATTAATTCTAGGAGTGTAATGCTTTTACAAACACTATAGTAATAATATGCATTCATTATGACAATATCATGATATTACTATACAGTAGGAGTGTTCTATAGTGGGTTAAAAAAACAACTACAGAAACACTATATATTATACTATGGTAGTACTATTTCAAATAATAGTCTTAATACGGAAACACCAAAAAAAAAACTACAGTAGTACTTTTACAAACACTATAGTAATAATATGCATTCACTATGACAATATCATGATATTACTAGGAGTGGTCTATAGTGTATTTAAAAAACAACTATGAAACACTATATATTATAGTTATACTATTTAAAATAATATAGGAATACTACAAAGATCTAGATACATAGTATTACTATTGAAATATTATAGGGCTACTATAGCTAATAAAATGGCACTACAGAAAAAACTNTCTATAGTGTGTTTAAAAAACAACTATGAAACACTATATATATTATACTATAGTTATACTATTTAAAATAATATAGGAATACTACAAAGATCCATACATAGTAGATACTAGATACATAGTATTACTATTGAAATATTATAGGGCTACTATAGCCAGGGGCGGACTGGCCATCAGGACGTTCGGGACGAATCCCGATGGGCCGGTACTGAAGTGGGCCGGTCGGACGATGTGGGCCGGCCGGTAACCGGAAGGGCTCGACATTAAATGGCCCGCTGGCCCGGAAGCACTATTTAGACACCCCGGGCCAGCATAACGTACTTTGCCCGCTGGGGCCACTAAAAATCTTGCTTTCAAAAAATGGTCCTGTGGTATTGGTATTTTGACTAGCAATTTAGTTAAATTGTTTCGTTTATCAACGCTACAACATAGCGTTTTGTGAGTCGGTTGTCGTTTTTGGGTGAAAAGCAAACAGCTGTTTGCTGCGGAGCGCAGCGCGAGCAGGCTCCCGTGAGCGCGCTCCTTCACTACAGACTATTGCGCCACCTAACCATTCGCCAAAATGTTTTTAATACCAGCGGTAACCGGCCAAGCGCCGGGCAAAAAACAATCATCAAATAAAAGAAAGTAACCGGAGGAGTTAAAGGAGAGTGACAGGGATCATGAGAAGAAGAGGGAGAGAAAGTTTCGGCCAGCTTGATCGATGGAGTTGGCTTCTAGTGGTGCAGTGACGCGTCCTAAAACCCTTTAATAATCTATCGATTAGATTTATGATTCGAAAATTATAAAAGTAGGGTAGACATGTGGATATTATCCGGCTGAACAAAACGTGCATTTATCAAACAGGTTTGTTTNATGGATGCATTGATGATGATAGATGGATGATGATGATGCATGATGATGATGATTTGTAACATTTGAACCGTGCGTCAACAACACGTCAGTGATGATGTTTAAAGAAAGGGAAGCTTGAGGATCGGGAGGGACCATTTACCCGTCGCCATTCAAGGTAAACAAACCCACCAACCGTGGGCGAATCATTTGCCTTCACGGTGAATTCAACCCTTTTGACCCAGCTTCACGTTTTCCGGTTCCCACGGGCATTTAGGTCTGGGCTTTGGTGGTTTCTGCTATCTCTCTTAAGGGGGAGGAGCTTGGGATCCTTGTTGTTTTTATGACCGGAGCACAAGCTGCCATGAATAGTATTGTTCAGACCATTGCAAAGCCCTTCTTTTCTGGGAACGTATTATTTTCTGGTGGGCGGACAGCGTAGTTAGATTCAGGCGTCTGCTGAAAAATCTCGCTGATGGAAGATTGTGGATTATTAGAAAATTAATTATCCAAGAGCTCCCACAGCTCTCCCATTTTCTATGAATTTAATCTCCAGTGATCCAGAAGGTTTCATCTCACTCACCAACAAGCACGTTGCTTATAGACGCTGGTGCAGGAACGAGTCCTAAAACCAGGGAAGTGAGTCAGCATTTCTCCACTCCTGTCCCCTGGTCTCATGAGCCAATGGGATCTCTCCACTAGGGCATTTGGAAACTAGCTGGAACTTAAGGTCTGTGGTTGAGACACATTGAAGAGGACAGATCACCGTTTTGGTTCCTACAACATTAAATTCATCAGCAGTGACCCAGACCTTGTGATCTTCTGAAGAGTGGACGTGTCTGAGAAACGATGGTGTTACCAAGTGGCTGAATAGGACTACCAGAAGTCGTGGAGCCGTTGTACGTCATTACAGCCAACACGTAAACACTCCTCCCTAAGTTAGTTTCTGTTCTGCTTGAAGCAAGTCCCTGCTCCTGCAGACTGTTCAAACAAACGCTTCAACTCGTTCCATTTAGAATCGTGTGTTTTGAATATGGATCTGAAGTTGGGTGGACGTTGAATTTGTGCTGGCTGGACTCGAGCTGTAGGTTCCTTTATAGCATAACGTTTGCTTTAGCTTCTGGACCATTAGATTTATATTAGAACATTATGGAAAGTTAGACATGGGGATTATCCTGAACAAACGTGCATTATCAAAACAGCACTGTTTCCACAGACCTTATTTCAGCTATTTTCCTAAATCCTCTGGAGAAATCCCGTAGCATTTTTGTCGAGGAACAGCAGGGCATTCCTTCCAGGGTTAAATACGTCCTCCCTGCCACCGCTCTATTACCTTCCTGTTTTAGAGTGTATAAGTCCACTTCCTTGTCTGTTAAATCCACTTCCTGTGTTTGTATTGACGCTCGCTTCGGAGACGCCTTCTGGAACAGCTCCAAATACAACAGGTGCAGCTAACCTGCTGAGGGTGATGACCCAGCTGGGCCATCGGTGGTGAACGTGTGTAGCTGGCCCCCATGGAGAGACAGGTAGAACAACCCCCACCCCATGGAGAGACAGGTAACCCCCCCCCATGGAGAGACAGGTAAACAACCCCCCCCCCCCCATGCGAGAGACAGTAAAACAAACCCCCACCTCCCCCATGGAGAGGAAGGTAAACAACCCCCCCCCATGGAGAGGACAGTAAACAAAACCCCCCATGGAGGAGACAGGTGATTGAGACTCAAACCCTAGATCAGGGGTCGGCAACCCAACCGCCAAGGGGCACGGCGGTACCGTAACCAGTGGCCACTTTGAATCAGTGCGAGCGCGTTCCTTCCCCGTTCCACGCCAGCGGCAGAAGGAGTCACTTCTAGGCCCCGCTCTCTTCAGTTGCCTGCTGCTTTCCTCGCGTGGGAAATTTTCACGTGGTGTGGTGCTTGCCGGAGAGCACCCGGAACGCCCGGCACTTCAGTCCTGCAGGTACCCATAAAGAGCCGTACACATGCCGCAGTTTGTGCGTGTCTTGTGTCTTTATTGAAACCCAGTGGCGATCTGACTATCTGTTATTCGAAAAGAAGCCATGCTACCAGGGCGGACTGTGTGTTCTGGAAATCACAGAACGTCCGCCGGCTCGGTTCGCTGACGGGGGCCGTCACCGCCCCTTTATCTGAATTTGTTTTCTAAACCGGCACGTGTAAGTTGCGCTGACAAGGCGATACCCCCCCCCCCCCCCCCCCCCTGAGATCCACAGGGGACGCACAGGGAGCCCTCCCAGCCCCCCCCCACCCCCTGACAGTTCGCGAACGTCGGCACACTGATCACATCTTTCTTTTTAATGGCACGTCATATCAAAGGTTGCTGACCCCTGATCTAGATCGACAAAAGGTTTCGTAGAAAGACTTAAATCTATCAGGAGTCTTTTCCATTAATGTACACCTTTAGTTTTCTCCTGATATTACCCATCTTCCCCTTGACATGTCATATTCTTTATATGTTGTTTACTTACAGTAAATATATATATATATATGTTCTGACAGTT